CCTTTGCTTAGCTGTGAAGTGGTTGAGAAGCAGCCTTCCTCCCTGGACTCTGGGGATAGGGTGCCGTGTCAGGTCCCACAGTGCTACTGCTTTGGAAGGTTGTGGGCGTGCGGGGCTGGGCTCCTCGAGGTTTGCTGCTTGACTGCTATGGCGACTTCCCCAGTACACGGGACAGAGCACATGGGGCAGAAGAGCTGCAAAGAGCCAGACTGTGCGTCTTTCCATGTTTCCACCTCAGAATGCCTGGGCCCTGGGCCTCGTGGGGGCAAAAACGGGGCTTTTGGGGGTCATGTAACAAAATAAGCCCTTTGCCGGATCTCTGAGTGGTAGAGATCTAGTCAGTTTATTGTGTATCTATCGACTGATGTTCTGGAACACAATGTGCTGGTTTAACAAAAGTTCGAGTGCTCGCCTCCTGCAAGGACCTGGTCTAGGTGCCTGGGACACAGCAGCGCCACGCTCTGGAGTTTTCTGTGTTTGGAGTCATTCTGAAAATTCCACAAATCTAAGTTTCCTGAAGCTTGGAAATTAGATCTGTAGAGGGTTTTTAAAGTTTAATTTTCATTTTTTTTTGATACTGGGGATTGAACCTAGGGCTCCTGCCCTAAGCTACATCTCCTGCCCTTTTTTATAAAAATTTTGAGGCAGGGTCTCACTAAATTGGTAAGTTGCCCAAGCTGGGCTCTAATTTGAGATTCTCCTGCTTCAGCCTCCCAAAGTGCTGGATTATAGATGTGTGCCACCACATCTGGCTGTAGGGAGCTCTCCTGAGGTCTTTTGGAATCGTCCCTCTGTGTTGTGGAGCTCAGTGCATGTCTTGGTCAAGTCCCTTCCGTGCTGCCTGGTGCAGTGGGCAGTGCGTGATGCCTTGGGCGGAGGCCTCTGTGTCTCTGTCTGCCGAAGCTTGAGACTTTGGCGTCCGAGCCCTGCAAGCGGTCAGGGTTGCTGATTCGCTGATTTGAAGTCGTCCATGCTTGACTTGCTAAGGAGCGAGGGATTGCTGAGTCTTCTGCTTCATCCCGAATGTCAGGCTTCTCTTAGGGTTTTAGGAAAGATAACAACTTTTTTTTTTTTTTGGTACCGGTGGAACCACTGAGCTAAATCCTCGGCCCAAGATAGCAACTTTTTAAAAACTGTTTTTCAATTTGTCTTTTTTTTGGTACTGGGGATTGAACTCAGGTTTTTGCACTTGCAGAGCAGTCAGCGGAACCACTGAGCTAAATCCCTGGCCCTCAATTTGTCTTTTTAAAAATGTTTTTTTAAGCCGAAGTTCACTCACTGGAGCGGTGGCACGGAGCACAGTGGAGGTGACCTGCTGGACTCCTGAGGGAATTCTCCACCTCTTTGCTTTAGCTCCGTCCTGGGGACCTTGCGCTTGCACAGCAGGCAGCGAGACCACTGAGCTAAATCCCTGGCCCCTCCTCCTCCATTCTTAATGCTCACCTCATCTGTCAGTCTGCCTGCCTGCCTGCCTGTCCATCCATCTGCCATGGGCATGGAGCCTGCCTGGGGCCTGGTGCTCACTAGGAAGTCCCTACCGCTAGGTGGCACCTTGACCCCTAACCACCGCCTACCGTAGTCGGTTCTTCCCTGCTGTCCGTGCGCCCCATGTCCCCTCTCAGGTGTCCCAGTCCTCGAAGCTCCCTTTTCATGCTTCCCGCTCCTGTTTGTGATGAGGCAGACCTGCATGTGGGAGCTGCATGGACCGGGGCTCCCCTCCACCCTGGAGGCCATCGGTGTCCTGGGGCCATCGCCCTCTTTATAGCACAGGCTGGAGCCGCTCCTGCACCGCGTGTTTCCAGATGCTGCCGTCTGTCTCTCCGCGGATGCTCTGCCGCCCTGTTTGTGTTTTGCTTTTGTGGATCGTCGGTTCTTCCTGTTTAAAAGCAGACCAGCACTCCGTGGCTCTTCCCACGTGGCACACGCTGGTTTCAGTGATCGTTGGGTTTTGAGGCTCCTGTGGCCTCATGTGCAGCAGAGCCAGCCTGGGTTGCTAGGCTGGTGCCCGTGGGGCCTGACTTGTGATGAGAGCGCCTGGCGGGACAGGGCCCAGGCTGGCACGGTGACCTGTGCAGGGGAGAAGCTGACAGATGCCCCGAGGACAGAGCCACTGGGACTCTGAGTTTCCTGGGCACCCCGAGTTTCCTGGGCACCCTGCAGACTCCCACAGACAGTGGCTCAGGGTGTGTTTGTCCTTTCACACTTCCGACTCGGTGTCTCCCGGTGCTGGGCTCCTCCGAGGCCCCAGCGAGGCTGTCTTTGCTCCTGCCGGTTGGCCCTGGGCCGTGGCTGTGTCCTCCCGTCTCTGCCCTGCCTGCTCATGGCTGTGTTTTGCATCTCCCCTGGCTCAGTCTCAAATCTCCCTGTGCTCTGCTCTAATGGGGCACCTGCCAGCCACACAGGGCACCTGCAAGCTCGAGGGTGATCTCTTCTCGTGATGCTTCGAGGCACACTGGGGTGGGGACAGGCAGCTCTTCTGGTGCACCCCCAGTGCACTGAGGTGCCCTGGATCATAGCGTTTCCTAGGCCTGGGTCTTTCTGCTGTGGCTTTGCCCGCACTTTGATAGTAATCATTTTTTTCTTTGAGGCTAAGTCTTGGTATGATGCCCAGGCTGGCCTTGAGCTCCTGGACTCAAGCCATCCTCCTGCTTCAGCCTCCCGAGTAGCTGGGATTACAGGTGTGGGCTGCTGTGCGGGCTGGGTGATCTCCCTTAACCAGCGGAACTCGCTGATGGTTGGAGCCTGCCAAATAATCGCTCCCATTCCCCACTCTGTGCACATGCCTGGCTGCGCTTGGCCTTTTTCTCAGTGCCCAGGCGTTAGGAGGCCCTGACTGCACAGTGTCCATGTGGGGCGTGGGCTGACGCTGGCAGGGGCACTGCCGGGGGCCACAGCCCACGGGTCCCAGGCAGAGGGGATCATGGGGGTAAGGAGGACCAGATGCTCATGCAGCTGACAGATACCTCACGGGAGAGGTCTGTGTCTGCCGAGAGCCAGAGAATCCGAGAGAACTGAGCGCTTGGAAGATGAGGTATCCGCATCACCTACTGTGAAAAATGAAACCAGAAGTTGCACAAATAGCCTGACAACTTGGATCTGTAGCTTATTTTTTATTTTTTAATTTTTTTGGTACTGGGGATCGAACTCGGGTCCTTGCGCTTGTGCAGCAGGCAGCGAAACCACTGAGCTAAATCCTGGCCCCTGTAGCTTATTTTTGACCCTGTCAGAAGTTTGCTTTTCCACAGTTGGCTATTTGCAAAGGGAGTCTAGATGTTGCTGAGTCCTGAAAGGGATTTAGTGACCACTTTTCCTTCTATGTCATTTTACTTTTAAAAGGCAGTGAGAGCCAGGTATGGTGCTGCAACCCTATAATCCCAGCACTCCAGAGGCTGAGGCAGGAGGATCACCTTGAGTTGGAGGCCAGGGTGGGCTACACAGTGAGTTCAAGGCCAGCCTGAACTACATAATGAGACCCTGTCTCAAAAAACAAAAACAAAAGGCAGTGGGTTCATCACCACCTTTGCATTGTTCCTGCCTCCGCCCGGCACCCTTTATGACCTCCCGCGGCCAGTGGCTGGGGCAGAGGCACACGCTGCTGTCCCTGACGAGGGCTCAGTCTCTTCTGACTCTGTACTGACGTTCAGGATGTGAGGTTTTCCCACCAAGTGGCCAGGGTGTGAAATCTCCATGTACCTCGGCCTGGGCACGAACGTGGTGGTGTCCTGACTTCGATGTCCAGTGCAGGTGTGGCTTGGGTCAGCCTGGGCCCTGCTGCAGGGGACAGTGGTTTGCGGTCCAGCTGCGGGGAAGAGAGAGCAACTGGAAGCCCGATGCTAATTGGGGATGTCCCTGCACGGCACAGAGGCTACAAGAGGTGGGTGTGGGTTGCAGGGACATCCGGGAGAGGCTGGCGTGAACTTGGAGGTCTCCTGGCATCTGCTTTCTAAAATGCACATCCAGGTGCACCTTTGGTCTCTTCGCCACGCCAGGAGCCCTGCACCTGCTGCCCAGGGACAGCGGCAGCTGCCCCGCTGGTCTGCAGTCTCAGCTGGGTGCCACCTGCTGCCTGGGAAGGGAGCCCGGGGGTGGCATCCCTAGCACAGCCCCTTGCCACCGGCTGTTTCCTCTCCACGCATGGCCGAGAAGGCTGTGGGCTCCTTCCCTGGCTCCTCCCGTTGTGAGGGCCCAGTGTGTCCCTGGGACTCACTCTGTCCCAGTCTGACCCTGCTTCCGGTACTCTCCCTGGCTGTGAATGCTCCGCCTACCAAGGGAGCCTGCTGAGGCGCCAGCAGGGCGGGGCCGTACCTCCAAAGTCCTCTGCCAGCTGTCACTGGGCTCATTGCCCGACACAGACCTGAGCTCAGTTGTATTCTTCACTACTTAAAAAAAAAAATGGGTAAAAGGGGCGACTTTAGACTTTGCTGAGTCAAGGCCCAGAGCCAACCTTGTGGAAGTTACCTTCTCCTGTGCTGCTACCCCAGGGTTTTCTCAGGGACCAGTGATGGAGCAGGGAGAAAAAGGAACAGCACAGAAGGCTCCAGCTTTATGACATTGATTTCCCAGTGTCACAGAGAGTCGCATTTATGAAATGTACCGCTTAAAATTTGCTGTGTAAAATGTGCTAATCACCCCAGAATATACACCTGCACTGCTCACCCTGGGTGAAGTGCTGTCCTTAGGGTTTCCTGACCGAGTTGCGGAGAAGTCGTGAGGCACAGTGTTTGGAAACTCACAGACACATCCTGGTGGAACAGGGAGCCACAGATGCAGTGCTGGACTTTGGGGGACCCATCGCCGCCTTGAACGGGAGAAGGATGGGAAAGAGTCCTGGCTGGACAGCTGGGCAGCTGCTGTGTCCTCCTGCCTCAGTTCCTCCTCCTGTAAAGTGGGACGGGTGCCCGGCCCCTTGCTCCCTGGGCTCTGGATAAATTTTGCAGTCTGTTGACTTCCTGGTGGTTTCTGTGATAACTCACACGTGGTGTGCTTTGCTTCACCTGCAGGCTGTGTCGCTCACTGCCTTGTCCCACTTGGCGTGCATGCGCATGGTCCGCTGGGCTGTCTGGAGCCCCGACCTGGAAGCCAGTGACGGCAGGGTCTCCTTGCCTCTGCAGGGTGGCACTGGGCCCAGCCCCTCGCGCTGCCTGGTCTACAAGGTGCCCTCGGACAGCAGGAGCTCTGAAGAGGTAACACCATGCTTTGCACATGTACTGGTTCTCCAGAGAGCTGCTGGCGAGCTCATTTGCAGAACCAGAAGTTGGCTGATGTTTGCACATGTTTCATGAACAGAATGTTCTCGTGTCGTGAATGTGCCTTGGAAAAGACAGAGGATGGCCGAGTCCTAGATAGATGTAAACTCTGATAGTGACCCTGCCCACCCGCCAGTGCCTCTGCAGTGCCTGCTGCTCTGTGCGTGCTTGCTCTGTGAGCACATTAGTGCCTGGGATGGTGGCCTCCTGGGCCCCTGTCAGGCAGGTGAGCAGTGGGACTAGAGCAAGGCCCCAGCCTGGCTTTCAGCCGCCTGCCCCCGCTTGTCTCTGTGGCTGGTCCGTCACCTCCATGGCCCTTGGCTCTGTCAGCTGTGTAGATGCAGGTCCATGGCAGAAATTCCCAGGTTTTGAAAAACATATTCTGAATCGAATATTCCCGAACTCCATTCTGGAGAGCAGGTAAAGTAGGGCAGGATGAAGGGAGCGCAGGGATCTGGTCCCCAGGCTGCCCCTGCCCATGGGTGGCCTTAGAGAGTCCTTCACAGATGACCATGGACCTTACTGTGCCCTGGCTGTGTGCGGAGTCCGTCCTGACCCTCCCAGATGTAGCTGGGCCCCTGCGGTCCTAAATACGCCTGTGTCAGCAGAGCAGATGGGAGCCTTTTAGCACTCCATGGTTTCATTTTTCTAAGGGAAGGGGACTGTACCTCCTATTTCAATATGTCACTTCTCTGCTGACTCTAGCAACAGATATTATTTTCAGTGTTGTTATTTACGATTTGGATAATACTTTGGGGACCTGAATAAAGGGGCAGCTGATTGTGCAGCTTTTCTTATTATAAGGAATGTCTCTCATTATGGGGCCAGATTTTGGTGCATTCCCACATGGTCTAGCTGGAGCCCTTATTATAAAATTGCTATCAGAAATCCTGAGGCCATCACCATTCTCCCTGCCCCCTTCCTCCTGTGTGCATTTGTGTGTGTACATGTGTGCATGAGTGCGTGCGTATGTGTGTGTATTTATCCTGTTTACTTCTCGGCTGGTCATGCCAGTTCACTGCCCTCATTTTTAAGTGCACACACTGTGTGTGGCATGAGTATCATGGAGGAGCGCCTGTCTCTGGGACACTGGCATGCCCGAGACTACCGTTTTCCACGAGCAGCACCACGTCTCCATCACGGCTTCTCAGCCTCAGTTCTGCTTGCGTTTGGGCAGTGCTTTTTGCTGGGGCTGCTTTGTGCTCTGAGATATCCTGCAGCAGCCCCGGCTTCTATCATCCGATAACAGCGACACCCCCAGTTGTGACAGTTCTCAGCGTGTGTAGACATTGCCTCGTGTCCTGCTCTAAACTGGTAGACTGACAAAGCCAGCGAACAACACCGGTGCCATGGGCCTGTCGGCTCCTGTACCCTGAGGCATGGCTTCTGCCGTTTCCCCGATGACCCTGGTGCCTGTCAGGGCAGACCTGTTGGGAACCTGGCCCAGCTGACTGGCTCACCCGTCTGGTCACACACACATCCATGGAGTGAACTTCCAAGCACCTGCAAGTCCCAGGTCTGGTGGAATTAGCAGGAGCAGGAGGGTCGGAGATCAGTAAGGAAAAGTGTCAGCGTTATGAGTATCCCAGTTTTTGACTAAGTAGATTTTAGGGTTTATGTTGTTAATGATTATTTTACTGTTGTTTACTGGGAAACAAAGTAGCACATCATGATTATGTTTTCTTCTTCAATAACTCCTGTCTTTTTCCCCTGAGCAAATAATTGTCTGTTTTGTAAAAAGTTTGTATCTCCAGAAGCTGCCACTTTCAATTCTTGGCTGTGACTTATGATATTTACCTTTGTTTTCCAGATAATATGCTCTTATTGTGATTTTTTAGTTTATCAATTTTAGACATTACACACTGACTTCCGGTAATGATGGATGCGGCCCAGCTCCTTCACACACCCGTCTGTCTAAGCCACATCTTCTTGCAGCTTGGCCTTGATTCAGGTCAGCCCCAGGAATTGTGCAGCATGGCAGGCCTGGCTGGAGAACCCACAGGGCCCTGGGAACTGAGAGGACTGAGGGACAGCACTGAGGGGGAACTTGGGGGTGGCCTAAATCCATTGACAGAATCCTGGGCTCGCCCCAAGCTGCAGGTGTGTGGATCTGTCCCTGAACAGCAGGCTGAGGAGTTTGAGATCTGAACCGTGGGGTGGATTGCTGTCTGTCCCAGAGCTGCCCATGGGAGGAACACATGCAGAAGAGACCCGTGGGGCACTGCACCGGCTTTGGGAATGGCACTGACGTGGGAGCCACAGCCCACAGGAGACTGCTCGGAAACTAGCACAAGCCCACTGGGCTGAGCTCTGCTTTAGCAAAACTATCAACAATCTTTCTTCATGGGACTTAAATCAGACTCAGTATCTCATAGTGTAATATGCAAAATGTCCATGATACCATCTAAAATTAATTGGCATGCAAAGAGCCTGGAAAATCTCCACCTGTAGGGAAAAGACATTAACATACGCCAACACCAAGATGACACAGTGTTGGAATTACTGGACAAAGATTTTAAAGCAGCCATTATAAAAATGCTCTAGTAAGTAAGAGCTAACACTCTTGAAACAAATGGAAAGATGGAAGGTCTTAGTAAAGAGACAGAAGATATGGAAAGGAATGGAGTGGGAAGTTTGGAACTGAAAATAAAGTAAACAACATTAAAAATTCACTACATAGAGTCCACAGCAGGATGGTGATGGCAGAAGAGCCAGTGAACCTGAAGGTAAATCAATGGCATTGATCCAGCCTAAACAGTACAGAAAGATTGATTGGAAAACAGAGGACAGAGTGCCTTGTGGGACAGTACCAGAAAGACTGACCCTGTATCCACAGCATCCCAGGAGGGGAGAAGGATATGGTTCAGAAAAAAATATTCAAAGAAGTAATTATTGAAAACATGCCTTGTTTGGCAAAACTTCTAATCCTACAGATCCAAGAAGCTGAGTGAACGCCAAAGAGAAATGCAGAGACCCACACCAAGACCTGTCATAACTAAAACTAAAGACCTGTGGTAACGAAAACTAAAGACAACGAACATAATCTTGGAAAGAGCTGTAGTTAGAAAATGAGTAATTCGAATGACTGTGGATTCTTTGTCAGAAACCATGGAGGCTGGAAGGACAATAAGAGGTGTGAGCACGAAGACCCAGCACCCGGACTCCGATCTGCAGCGAGACTCATGGAGGCGCAAAGGTGACATGAGATGCCCGCAGGTGGGTGAGAACCAAGAGAATTCATCCACAGCAGGCGTCTTCTAAAGGAGTGGCTGAAGGGGTTTCTTCAGACAGAGGGAGAGGATCCCTGTTGGAAATACGAAACCTCAGGCGTGGAGGACCACAGAAAGATGAGGAGAGAGAGCTTTCTTCTATTCCGGAGTCCTTTTGTTTGTTTGTTTGCTTTTTGAGGCAGGGTCTCATCATGTAGCTCAGGCTGGCCTCAGACTCACTGTGTAGCCCAGGCTGGCTTCAAACTTGTGGTGATCCTCCTGCCTCAGCCTTCCGAGTGCTGGGATTACAGGCGTGCATTACCACGTCCTACTGTTCTTGAGTTCATTAGAATATGCTAGATGGTTGAAGCAAAAATGTAGATGAGATTTCAAGGCATGTGGCTATGAGAGATGAGGCAGCTATAAGGTAAAAGAGGGCAGGTGCTAGCACTATGTGGTGTAGGGGCTCTGCATTCTTGAATATATACTTGAATATATGCTTTTGTTTGCTTTGAATATATGCTAAATATATACTTTTGTTTTGCTTTTTGAGACAAAGGTCTCACTATGTAGCCCAGGCTGGCCTCTAACTCATGGCAATCCTCCTACCTCAGCCTACCAAATGCTGGAATTACAGGCATGCACCATCATGCCCGGCAGGAATTTACATTTAAAACCTAGAGCAGTCACTAAAATAAAATACAAAGAGATAGGTAAAGGCCCAACAGATAGATAAGATGAGATAATTCAGAAGAAGACAGAAAGGGGAAATGAGATTTAAAAAAAAAAAGCAGAAGGAGCAAGTAATAACAAAATAATAGTCCTGCATCCAAATGTACTAATAATTACATTGTCAGTTGTCTAAATGTTTTGTGTGAAGTCAGAGGTTGTCAGACTAAATGAAAAAAAAAGGTTTTTACTTTAAATATAATGATGTAGTGGCACGCACCTGTCATCCTAGCATTCAAGAGGCCGAGGCAGGAGGATCACCTCGAGTCTGAGGCCAGCCTGGGCTACATAGTGAGTTCAAGGCCAGCCTGAACTACGTAGCGAGATGCTGTCTCAAACAAACAAAGAAAAATGAATAAATAAATATGACAATGTAGGTTAAAAGTAAAGAATGGAGGAGATTACATGTAAGCACTAACAACTGGAGGGGCTGTGTGAATATCATTCAAAGCAGACTTCGGAACCAAGGAAATGTCCAGAAACCGAGAGAGATCACATCTGATGAAAGATACAGTCACTAAGAAGACGTCACGGTCCCGAAAGTGCTTGCGTCAGACAGAGAGCTTCAGAACACACGGAGCAAAGCCAATAGAACCGAACAGAAAATCAGGCAAATCCGTGATGCCAGGCAGAGGTTTCAGCCCTCCTCTCTAAGTAGACAGAGACCACAGGGACAGAAAAGACTCGGAAGACGTCATCCTCCAGTTGCATCTGGTTGTTGTTTGCCAGCACTCTGCCCAAGAGCAGCAGTACATGGGCTTTCTAAGTGCACCAGATTAGACCACATCCTGTCATGAAACAAGCTGATGATTTCACAAGAATTAAAATTATCCAAGGTATAATCTCTGATCATAATAGAATTAAACTAAAAATCAGTAGCAGTAAAGGTATAAAAATTACCAAATATCCAGTACTTGGGAGGCTGAGGCAGGAGGATCACCTCAAGTTCGAGGCCAGCCTGGGCTACATAGTGAGTTTAAGGCCCCCTGAATTACATAGTGAGACCTTGTCTCAAAAAAACAAAAGAGAACAACAACCAAATTACTAAGCAGTATATTTCTAAATAATCCATAAGTCCAGGAGGAAACCTCAAGAGAAAACAGAAGATATTTTGATCTGAACAAAAATGGAAACACAACATAGCAAAATTTGTAAGATGCAGCTAAATCATGTGTTGATAGAAATTTGTAGCACTAAGTCCTCATATTGGAATGAAAAACTTAATCTAATCTTTAATGCCTTTAGAAACTGGAAAGAGCAAAATAAACCTAAAGCAAGAAGAAAAGTCAATAGTGAAGAGCAGAAGCCACTGAAATTAAAAACAGAAACACAATGGATTAAAAAATAGGAAAAAATGGAGCAGAAAGCCTGATTCTTTGAAAAGAGCCATAAAATTGATGAGCTTCTGACAAGATGGCAAAGAAAAAAGAGAGAACATGAATTACGGTAGTAGGAACAAAAGAGTAGCAATCACTGTCGACCACACAGGTTAGGCTGTGGACAGTGGGGTATGATCAGCAACAGCGGAGAATTAATATCATTCTATCAATGGCCCAAATTTACCCCGATTGAGTAGAGAGCCAAGTCCTTCTGTAACTATTACAGAAATTCAATTCATTGCTCGAACTCTTTCAGGGAAGTAAATATCCAGGCCTGTTCATCTTGAATTCTAGACATTTAAGGAAGAAATAACCTCAGTTTTTTACAGTTTCTCCTAGAAAATGGAAGAGACAGGGAAATCCCCTGTTCATAAACAAGACTGATATTATCTTGACCAGAACCAGTAAGTACCAAGAAAGCAAAACTGGGGACCCAGCTCTCTGATGAGCAGATCCAAAATACTTAAGCAAAATCTTCACAAATGGAATCTCACACTATGTAAAAAGAATAATATGCAGCGAGTGGTGGGGACTTCTGCACAGATAGGAGCCCGTTTTCCACCAGAAAGCCCACAGAGGTAATTCACCACAGTCACGGCCAAAGGAGGGAAGGAAGACCTTCACATGCTCCTAGCAGCTGACAAGATTCAGCATCTCGTATGAGAAGAACTCCAGGCACAGGAAAGCTAACCAAACACGCACGAGGCTCTGTGGTGCAACCTGGGAAGCCTCCTCCTCTCTGAGGCTCACCTTGGTTCTGCTCAGGTGAGATCAGAGACCAGAAAAGCGGAGAGGTGTAACAGCTTCTGTGTCAGCAGATTCCCCTTCTCCGCGAAGCCAGCTCTCCCCAGAGCTCACCTCTGGATTTAATGCACTTTCAGGCAAAGCCCCGCAGAATTTTATTTATTTACTTATTTATTTCTTTGGTACCGGGGTTCCAACACTGGACATTGCGCTTGCGAGGCAGGGGGCGGCACCGCTGAGCTACGTCCCCGGCTATTTATTTTTTGAGATATGAACAAGCTGATTGTAAAACACAGGTGACAGGGCAGAGGGATGAGCAGAGTTGAAGCAGTTTTGAAGAAGGACAGGGAAGTCGGAGGAATCAGGCTGCACAGTTGGAGGTCACCCTAGAAAGCCACATTAGTCAGAGTCGCATGTTCCTGGGGAGGAGACTCGCGGAGATGAACGAAATAGTCCAGAAGTAAGTCACAGTGCGCATATGAGAGAAATTGAGGCTTGGGCTCACTTAAGAATCTCTGTGCCCCAGTTTACTATAGCTGTGTTTACAGTCACTCAGCTGGAAAAAAACCCAGTTGCTCCTAACCAGTGACATACAGGAACCAGGGCTGCACCCACACAGTGGAATACTACTCCGCAATGAAAAGGAGCTGACCGTTGATTTGTGGCTCCAGCTTGGATGACTGTCATCTACACTGTATTGCGAGAAAGAGCCAGCCTCAAAAGTCGTATGTTGAAGTTGTGGTGCACTTGTGCATGCCTATAATTCCAGCTACTCTGGAGTCTGAGGCAGGAGCATTTCAAGTTCCAGCCCAGCCTGGGCAGCTTTGTGAGAGAGCCTGTCTCAAAATAAAATAAAATAAAATGAAAAAGGCCAGGGGATGTAGCTCAGTGGTGGAGCACTTGCCTCCCATCTGCCAGGCCCTGGTTCAATCCCCAGGACAAAAGGAGTTTGATCATAAGTGTTACAGGTTTGTTTGGATGGCATTCTCTCGAGAGACCAGACCGTGGCCTTGGCGCTGGGCCAGGCGTGGCCACCGAGGGCTAGGTGTGGCGGGTGGCACCGGCCTGAATCCCCCCTGGGGCTGGTTGCCTGCATTGTGCCTGTGTTCAAACCCGTAGAACTACGTGCAGAATTAAAAGTCAGTTTTACGTGTTAATTAAGCAGCTGAGTATATTGGGACTTATTAAATATATTGAAAATATATTTCTACTTGGTTAAATTCCACTCTGGAATGTCCAGTGTGTTCTTTTGGGATTTCAATGACACAACAGATCATTTTTACCCTAGATTAATAATCTTACTTGCACTGGTGGCTCCGTGGCTGGTGCCTTGGCCCCGTGTGCCCCTGACCTGGCTGGGCAGGGTGGCCTCACAGTCTCTTTGGCTCTGTTGCAGGTGAAGCAGACCGAGGTGGGGACGGTGCAGTTCCGGTTCTCGCTGAGCCCGGAGGAGCTGCCAGAGACCCCCAAGGAACGTGCCGAAGGCCCCCGGGCGGAGCAGCGGCCCTGCGGGAGGCCGCCCCGGTCCCCCTCAGGTGAGCATCCCGGCGCCTCTCCTTTTCCTCAGGAACAAGCTCAGGCCAGCCAGGTCTCACCAGGCGAACAGGCCAGGGCTACAGAGGGCCTGAATTTGGATCAGTCAGTCGGCCGTTGTCGTGGGACTCGGACAGTGCCCTGCAGCCTGGCCTGGCGCTGTCACCTGCCCCACACTCAGGCGTCCTCAGACCCTGCCGAGAGTCCGGTGCTGAAGGCCAGGGTGCGAGCTCAGGTTTGCACTGTTGGGAGGCACCTCCTATGTGTGCCTTGGGGATGTGGGATCGAGTGTTTGGCTCCAAGCAGGAGTGGCCATGAGGTGTGACAGAGGGACCGAGAAGGCGTGCAGGCTGGAGACAGACACACAGGTGTGTGGGGCCGGAGCACCGTGGTTGACCGTCCTCTGGGCTTGGGGACCTGGGTGCAGGTCCTGTCCCTCCCGGTGGAGCCTGTATGGGAGTCCACTGTGGTGACCGGAGCAGGAGTGAGGGGGGCCTTGGGGTGCCCTGGCCGCTGAAGGAGGTGCCCAACCTTGGCTGCAGTGGTCACGCTGGCCTTCCCGCTGGGTCCAGATGGGCAGACAGGGAAGGACAGTGCCGAGCTGTGGTGCCTGGGTCCAGGCAGAATGCACCCGCTTTTCCTAGGTCCTGCCATGGAGTGCTAGGATTCTGTCCCTCAGGGCTATTTTCTTCAGGAGCTGAGATTATAGTTGCAGAAACTGGCCTTGTTGAATTTAACTTCCTAGGGGCAGGAACAGCCCGCTTCCTTCTTTAGCCCAGAGCTTGGAGTCCTGACCTCTGTTTTCAGGATCTTCTGGGACTTTCACAGATAGCTAAAAATAGACATGCACCCAAACTCCAGTTGATTGCTTTGGGGCAAAGCACACTGTAAGTCCTTTCCTTCTTTTCAGAAGCAGTGCATTTGAAGGGTTTGACTGTTCTGTTTTTTCAGTTCTTGGGTTTTACGAGGAGTGGATTGTTCTCCAGTCTCCGTGTCCCCTCAGTGTGAGCGGGGCCTCCGTGTGGAGCTCCCTCCCCGAGGTGGAGCCAGGTGGTCTGCAGAGCCCCTTGCTGGAGCGGTGGGTGGCAGCATCTTTCTGTCAGTGTCATTTCAGGAAAATTTCCATTTCAAATACAGTGTAAACTCTGTGTGTGCTAATTCTGGGATTTTTGTCAGCTTTGGTCCTGGTTTAAGTTTTGTTTTTAATTGGCCGGCACGTGTGATAATGCTGGGTGCCTGTGGGGTGGGGTGTGTGCTCCCGCCACGTGGACCGGACCTTACGTAACTCGGGTCAGGCCAGTCAGCACCCAAGACTCCAACAGTTGCCGTTTCTCTGTGG